CACTCAAGCCGTAAAATTCAGTTCAAGAGCAATATCGCAAATTGGTTTTAAATTGAGCACATATTTAGAATTTCCGATAAACAGTTTTTTCTGTACAACGTTGCCGCTACTTGCTTTTAAATCGTTGAGTTTGTTAATCAAAAATTCGTTAAAGTTTTACCAAAATATGAAACGATAATAAAACAAATTCCAATTTGCACTTCTAGATGCCATATTCTCAGGAGGATTACGTTATTCAAATTGATTTCTTAGGTACCTGTTTTACTAGCGAGGAAACTTTAATGCACATTCTTCATTATTAATTTCTTTAAAATATACAGGGTGATAATACTTGTGTTTGGTGGCAACAATTTTAAAAGTGAAACAACGTAGTGAATTAACGCAAATACCAAAAACGAAATGAAAGTCCTTCTGGGAAATTTGCCTCTTTGGACTAATAAATAATAATTAAAAAAATCTGAAAAGTTTCAGATTTATATTACGTCCAAAGAGGGTTTTTTGAAAATTGGGTCACAATATCGCAAATAATTTTAAAATGAGCATATCTTATATAGGTATTCTCCCGCTTTCTTGGCATGCCTTCGTTAATGCAGTGGTCGCACTCTCGGCGTGTATCGAGAGGTCCGTAGATACGAGTCCCGGCGAAGGCATGCTCATTTTTCATCTCGCTTCGAAACAACCTGATGTCTATACATGGCGCCCGAATAAAAAAGATGGTAGATGATGATTGGTTGCGTGAATAACCTGGATTGTTCATTCAGTCGTCTTGCCGTTAATTAAATTTGACTCCATTCATAACACGTGAGAAAAAATATTTTAAATAAAAATTCGTTTTCTTGCTTAAGAAAGCTAACTTTATTTCTTACACACTTAAGGAAATCAAAACATTATTCCAAGCTTTCTTACTGTTGCCAAAATGAAAAAAAAAAATATCTGTCTAAAATGGAAACACAACGGCTGATGAACGTCGTTACCAAATAAAAATCATGGAGCTCACAACAATTGATTCTCCACCACCCATGATTTGGCAAATGGGTCGATAATCCCCAGTCGCCCTTTAAAAGGGTTGAGAATATAAGGTATTTCTCCCTCCTTTTAGCAGCCTTCGTATATATATAGTGGTCAGGATGCTCGGCGCGTATTCGGAGGAGGTGGGGGTAATACGATTCCGGCGAGGATATGCTTATTTTTCATCTCTTAATCGAAGTAACTAAGTTCTACATGTTTAGAATTTCGATACAAAGTCTCGCGCGCCGCTGGAGTTTTTTTTTTTTTTTTTTTTTTTTTTTTTTTTTTTTTTTTTACCCGTAACAGTATTTGCCGTTGCCTCACTTTGAAATCGTTAGTTGTTAATAAAAAATTCTTTGAAGTGTTACAAAATACGAATGGGCTAATAAAACGAATTTCGATCAAACTAGGAGCTTCCAAATGCCTATATTCTATGGAAAATTATATATCCAAATTTTGATGGCGCAGGTACCGTGTTTTATCACAATGCGAGGAACATACACGCATTCATGTAGATTCTCATTATATAATTCTTTAAATATAAGACAGAGCGATAATATATGGGGCAAGATTTGAAAAGTGATGCACCTTTTAACGTTTCCAACGCAAAATCCAAAACGAAATTAATAGTCTTTCAGAGCAAACTGTCCCTTTGATCTTAAAAAAAATTTAAAATCTGAAAGGTTTCAAATATTAAATCCGTAAAGGGGCCTTTTTTTTTTAAGTTTTGGTGTTGTCATCTTTTATTAAATATCATGTTCTTCGCACTTAAACCATAAAATTCAGTTACAGTAATATCGCCCAAATAATTTTAAAATGAGAATATCTTTAGAATTCTGATACACAGTTTCGCGCGCTGGTGATAAAAAGGTCCCCCCCCCCGTAGAATATTGCCATGCTAGCTTTTTAAATCTTTGGTTTGTTAATAATCAAAAATTCGTTAATTTTTACAAAATATGAAATAGAAAAATAAAAGAACTTCCAAATTCCAAAATTTGGGGCCCAAGCGGCCGAGCGGTAAGACGCTGAACACTGGTAGTTCGTTTGAGGTTCGGATCCTGCGAATGGGTGGCTGCATGCATGTTTTCGTGGTTTCCCCCATGTGTAACGTGTATACGAGCCAGTTCCCTTAGAAAGCCCTAAAGAAGGCATCGCTCCCTTTAGGCAGATACTCGTGGAATTGCCATAATTAAATAATCCAATCCAAATTTGGGCTTCCAGATGCCCATATTCGGGTGGAGACGTACTTATTCAAAATCGGATGGCTCTAGGTACCGTTGTTTTAACACAATGCGAAACATACATATATGGTACATGTGGCAAAATGATTTCGAAAAAGAGAATTTTGATTTTGAATTTTTTCAAAAAGAGACTCATATCATTTCCAAAATAATTTTAAATCTGCTGTGTGAAATAAAATGTAATAGAGAATATTCTTTGGATTTTTTATTGTAATTATAGGATTTATTATTATTACGTGTGTGTGTGTGTGCTGTCTCAAAGTAAATATTTCAGTTATGTAAATAAAGGTATAAGAAACAATTAAGCTTACATAACAGTTAATTGCGAAAGAAATATTAGAGCCATAAATCTGTCTTAATATAAAGGTACACTTTTTTAATTGACATAAATACATTATTCCATTATCTTGTAGAGACATTAGGATTTTTTGAAAGCAAGAGAGATTGAAAAATTAGAAACCGCTTTCTCTGGGAATGGAACCACGGACCTATGGAATACCGATCAGCGTGCAGAACCATACACAACGAATACAGCTAGGAAAGGCGGGAGGAAATACCTTATATCTATTAGAAAATATTTATTAAAATATCTATTAACGTGTGGTAGTGGTGTTTAATTATGGGAAAAGCACACCAGGGCTATCTGCCTAAGAGGAGGGATGCCTTTCGTGGAGGACTTTCTAAGGGAAATTGGCTCGTATACCCGTTACACATGGGGAAAAACCACGAAAACACCCCATGCAGCCATCCCCGTTCGCGGGATTCGAACCTCGGACCGAACTACCAGTGTTCAGCGAACTTTACCGCTCGGCCGCTGGGGGCTATCTATTAACGAATGATCAAGAGAAGAGGACATCTATAACGACATCAAGAGACATCAAAGTAAAAAAGAGGTCACTTTCTAAAAGAGATCTGCATTTTTGAGAAATAAACATACATTGGTAGTGAAACATCACCTTTTTTAAGATCATCACATGAATTTTTAAAAGCATGAAGAGTTGATTTAAAGACAACCCATTACTTTAATAAAGAATGTAACATGAATATTAATTGCACATTTTTTTTTTTTTTTTTGTGTGTGTGTGTTGTGTGCGTGCATGTCAAAAAGTGATACCGGGTTCTGCTGCTGCTTTAGAAATGCGTGATGATTAATTAAAAAAAATGGATACTATATTAAAAAATGGTATATATTCACTACACACCTTTGAACACGTCTGAAATTCATTATTCTGCTCAGCATAATTTGTTTGCGTTAAAATTAAATAGTATTAGAAATGAAAGCTAAGTCAAGTAGAAAAAACAGTTATCTCCTGGAAACCATTTAATTAAGTAAACAGGCGTCGCCTTATTGTAAAGTGACACCTGTTTTTCGAACAGCCGATAGATTGAATTGGATTATTTTAATTATGGCAAAGCACACGAGGGCTATCTGCCTAAATGGAGGGATACCTTCCGGAGGACGGAAAGAGGGAATTGGGGAGAAAGCAGTGGACACAAAAAGCACTTTTTCGAGCTGGGGATTAAACCATACAGGACGAAATGTTATTAAGCCAGTAGTTAAGATGAGATCTGGTATTTTAGTTTATTTAACTATTCATTATAAATTAAGAATTAATTAATTTTTATTATTTTAATTATTACGTATTTTAATAACTAATTTTTATCATTTATTAAAATATGTTATTATTGTATTATTATTTTATTTCCTTCTTATTTTTTTTGCATCTAAGTCATTCCGTAGCTTTTCGAACAACTGATTTTAAAAATTAAGCCTGACACCAATAGAAAATTAAATATTTAATGATATGAGTGTACCACAAAATAATAGCCAAAAGAAAGTGAATATTTCTACCCAAAAATGCGATGCAAAAAAACTCCTGCGGGAATTCAGCCGTTTACGTGATTCAATGCGATGCGACGCTTTATACCTACTAGTCGATTTTTAACGAAAGTAACGAGTAGTAACGTAAAGAAAGTCATTGATATTGAGTAACGAATACATACGGGTACTCAATTTCTCGTTGCTTTTACAGCACTAATGACAGATGCAAGGAGGTTGGGACAGATGTCTCGTTTTGCATCTGCTAAATCTTTCTGCGTGCAGAGCAAAAATAAAGTTTAGGTACGAAAGAAAGAAATATCTAAACTTGCCAGAAATTTCTTGTATTCAGTTCTCACTCATCCTAACAACTGCATCAACTCTCTTAGATTACTATTTGCCAGAGAAAAGCACAAAAATTCATCTGATATTCTCCATCCTTAATATTTTATACTCATACTAGAGCCTTGAATTCACTGATTTAGACCTTCCTTATTTGTCAACTGATGGCGGCCACTGGACTTAACACTTTCGTCTCATTTGGGCCACACTACTCATTTTATTTTATCGATTGTCTTCACCAGTGGCAGAGTAAGAGGAAGCACTGCTTTCTTAAACGCTAATTTACTATATGTTCTTAGTAGTTGTAGCAGGCGGAAAGACAAATTGAAAGGGCAATTTTATTTGCGAGAAAAATAGTGAACGTCCGTTTATAGCAAAATGCCCTTCTGTGCTAAAACTCCTTTTGGGCTAATAACCTTAAAATATTAAATATAAAATTTTCATAATTGTGTATTGTGCTTTATAATGAATGACGTTCGTAACTCTCTTTTCTATTTGAAAAACTTTTATTCTGAAACCGATCCAGATTGCATTGAAATTGTGATCGAACATTTGGCAACAGATAGGGTTATTATTAATTTCCCGTGTTTGTTTTGTCTGTGTACCTGTAAAGATGATGTCAAGGTGTTGATAGTATCTTATCTCTAAATGGATAGTAGTAAAGATGAGAAAAATGCTGTGTAGTTTACAACATCATTGTTAGATAACTTGAAGGTATTTATCAGAGTTTAGTACCGTATTATCTTCTTTCGAGCTTTTGATTTTGAACATGGATGTTGCTCTGATTTTTGGGGGTGGCTCCAAATTAACATATTGTAATTAATTCTATTTCTAAAATAATCTGTTCGTATTTTTTAAAAAGTAGATGATTAAACGGGAGTTTTTTTCTATAACATGAAAATATTTCTCTTTGTTAATGCATCTTTACTTAAATGACACAAGAATTGACACACAGTTAAGAAAGCATGCAATTTTGGTAAAATAAAGTGATTTCTGAGAGCACTTCGAGCTTGGGGTTTGATTTTAATTTTTATCCTTTAGTTTGCGTATAATTTAATTGGTAAATAAATATTATTAAATTTCACCGCATAAGCTGTAATTGAACGCTTAATTTTTTTTAATTAAGCGTTTTTTTTTTTTTTTTTTTTTTTTTTTTTTTAATATTGCATGTTATCTCATTTTAAATATACATTTGTGTATTATGAATTAAGCGACTCAGTTCTAAATTCTTTGTTTCTTATGTATGCCAATTAAAGCAACTAAATTCTTTATTCTTTGTGTATGCCATTGAGGTAGTTTATTTAATTCATTAGCAGAATTAATTTCGATTAGCTTCACCAGCTGTAATATCTCTGAAATGTCAAAGTATATTTAAATAAAACTAACGTAAAATTTTGAAACTGGGTTTTCTTTTAGAATTTGTGTGAAATAAAATTATGAAAAGTGTAGCATGTTCACTTCGAAAATGGAAAAGCAAGTGAGTGGAACTTCGAAAATGGAAAATGTAAAAAAATACTTTTATTTGCTTCAAAATGATCATTTCATGTTATGCAGAAGTGTGGGCAGCAGTTTGCAACATAATAATTAATTTGCAAATAATGTTTTTATTTGTTTATAAATGAAAGCAATAACAAACACAGCAGAAAAAATAATGACTATAATTAAAACATGCTAACATGGATTTTATAAGTTCTTATAACGATTGAACTTTACCATGTACTTATTTAAATTACGTCCAAGTTTAGAGTGCTTGTATTATTTTTATATGACTGTTACCATATGGTTATCTACATATGGACTATGACTGTATCTCAGGGCTTAATTGCTAAGATTAGAAGTACCGGAGCCCTATGGAAGTCATCAGAGAGGAACAAGAGTAAATAAATAAATAAAATGACTATTAAACACCTTAATAAATTTAAAATTAAATAGTTAATTATCAAATTAATTAATAGATATTAATTAATGTTTATAAATGTTATTTAATCAATAATTATTATATAATTAATTATTATTTCATTGATAATTATTAGGTAATTAATTATTATTTATTGAAATAATTAAAGATTGAAGTAATTAAAATTAAATAAAATGTAAAGAGATGAATTGCAATTTAATACGCTATTTTTAATATAATTTTATTGTTAAAATAAAATTTTTGAGCTAACATTTCTACTGAAATTGTTATTCAATTACATAAAAGAAGTGCCTGCAGTCTTCTTATTCAGGGCTCCGGTGCTTTCCGGCTAAAATTATGATTTATTACAAAAACTAAGAAGTGCCAGAGCAGATCCGGTGGGTTCTGGCACAATTTAAGTTCTGATCGTAGGGGTGGGGGGGAGTTCTTTTATCATCACAAAAATTAAATATACTTAAAGTATAGCTGATGAAAATTCCAGGGCGAAACAGAATGAGGGTATGAGTGGGTGGAAACAAAAAATGAGGGGAATCTTGGTGAGAGAGAATGCTCTCTTTGACTGCAGCTCTCTGTTGATATAATTATAGCCATCAAGCAGATGGGCGTCAGGGGTAAAAAGAATCGGACTCCTAAATGTAGAGTTGCTGGTTACACTTCCCCCTCATTAGTGGATACTGTGGGAAGACGATGTATAGGACTTGCTTGAGCAGTTTATCTCAGTATTTCACTCTTATTGTACTCGCTGTCACTTAACACACATTTAAGAACACAAATTTTCATGCGGGGATAACTAACTGTAAGCATCGGTAACAATACACTAGATACAGTGGCATGGCGAGAAATTTAGGCGTTCTTAAACAAACTCCCCCAAATTTATTGATTTTCTTAACCTTCCAGCGGGCACGCCTTCTGCACCAACAAGAAAGGTCACGCGTATTTCTTAGATACGCTATTATAAAAAATAAATTTTCCAGAGCAAAAATATTAAAATTAGCTTGTAAATAGTTAAATGTTAATAAGTACAATTGAGTTAAACAATATAACTTTAAATTAAGGAAAATAAAATAAATAAGAAAAAAAAAAAAAAAAAAAAAAAAAAAAACAATATAAAATGGACTAAAGTCTTATCAAACTAACTTGAAAGTAAAACAAAATTAAACTGCCAATATTTCAATTGAACTTTTGAATTTTTTAATCAGTAAGTGAAAAAACACATTAAATATTACATAACAAATCAATTCATAGTCACTTCATTGCATCGGTGCAGTCTGAACAAATATGTTTACAGTGCTCTAGACAAACGAATTTTAAACAAATCTCACAGCTGAACCTCGTAATTCCAGTATGCTTGTCATTTTGGCAGGGTCTGCATCTTTTTTTTCCTGAAGTCATTTCTTCAACAACAGCTAATTCTGCTTTTCGTTTCAACAATTTAAATTTCAGCTCACTTTGAAGAGAGTTAGGGATTCTTCTTTCGTTTTCCTTCACAAGAGCATTTGCTAGCTTTCACAGATATTATCTGCTAAGTAATTTTTCACTATTATTCGTTGAATGAATTATGTAGCTGTTGATTGCTGCTATATTCAGCATAGAGAAGAAAACTACAAGAGTCCACACCTCCTTTGGTACAATTGTAAAATGTGATAATCTCAGGCTTTTTTTGGTCTTGGGTATTTTCATCTATTGCTACGTCATCATGAAGATTTGAAATCAATATGACGTTTCTATAACGTTTGGGTACATAGGAGAGAAGTGTCATATTTTTCTAAATCCAAAAAGACTCGTATTGGGTTCCCAAGTTTTCGCCAGTTTGAACTGATCCGGAATTTGAGGTTTATTGTTTTTCAAAGTACCTACAAATGACAATTTTTTTCATCTATTTCTCGTACTAACTCAAAACTTGAAAACCAGTTGTCTGCGGTTACATTTCTTCCAGTGTTATCAATAGGTTCTGTCAACCTTTTTACATCTTGTGGTTTGTTGCTTACGTAAAAAGACAATCTGGCTGCGCTCCAGCATAAATGTCCATATTGTATGTGTAAAACATACGAGCGTCTACCATGGCATAAATTTTTATGCCATATTTGTTCGGTTTTTTTGGGAATGTATTGAATGACACCACATCTTCCTCAAAATCCTTCTAATTTCTCATCGGTTGTGACATTCTCCCCAAGTGAATAGCACTTCTGGCAATTAGAGACAAACTTTTCAAAAATGTTTCTTATTGGAGCCAATTTTATTTTCTCTTCGTTCTGCTCTTGTGTTTATGTCATCAAATCGTAAAGCTCGTAGTAAAAACAAAAATCTCTTCAAGTTCATTACTACTTTAAATTCCTCCATTCTCCACAGTTCCTCAAGATTCCAGAACTCTGTTACCACGATAAATACCAGCTAAGTAAAGTAAGCCCAAAAAAGCTTATTTCTGCCCATTCGTTTCTCTGCTGTCCCCTTATACGAGAATAATTTAGACTTCACAGAAGAAATAAACTTATTCGTATCTTCATCGATGATTTCTATCAAACTATCAGTAAAGAAGCATTTCCATATATCCAAAATATCTGTTAGATATTTAGCTTAACCGATGACTCCAGAAACATGAACACACATGTTACGAGGTGCTCGTTTAGTTTTCTTTTTATGCCATGTCCAAGAATTGATGACTTTTCTGTTTTATGAACTATATACATTTCGGAAGAATTATCATCATTATTTCCCTCTTCAGAATTGCCCTCTGCACTTATCTCCGATTCTGAATCACCTTTTTCTGAAATTCGCTCTTCTTCATCTGTAATGCTTTCATCTAAAATAATGTCCTCATCGTCATCACTATCACATAAAAGCATATTTTTTATAATCTCAAGATCCTTCGGATCATTCATGTCGAGTATTTTACTTTTATTCGCCATAACTGAAAAGAAAAGAACAAAAATATCATACATGGTCACGCGTATGTGACGCATACATTGCTTCTATTTTATCATTAAAAGTAATTACGCACACAAATTATACAAAATTATAAGATTTAGATGCAAAAGAATAAAGATTTTCTATAATAAAAAAGGAAATTAGATATAGCAAAAAAACTTACTTCAACGGTCGCACGTATTTCTGGAATACAAATTATAAATCTGCAGACTCGCATTAACCCCTCCAAATCCAGCAGACGACTGAAAGAAGGGCGAACGAAGAGGAGAGACTAGCAAAGAACACGCGGTCATAGCGCCTTCTGGTCTACGAAAAAAATGCGAAATTAAAATCTAGTGTATGTCACACATACGTGCGCCCGCTGGAAGGTAAAGGAAAAGGTTTCCACATGTGAGTGAGGGGACTTTTACTTGAACGTCTCATGTTCTCATGAGTTCGTATTTCCAGGGAAATGGAGTATTGCAAGGTCTGCTTATTGTTAAACTAAAACGTTAGGAATTCTAGATTTTTTTTCCCTTTAAATTGTGGTTCAGTTTTGTAAAAAGAAGTACCAGAGTTCATCGTATTTAGAGCTCCGGTGCGCTCTGGCTAAAATTGTAATTTATCTTAAAAATTGAGAAGCACTGCTGTATCTACATCTTCTAAAAAAGTTCTTAATTCTAACAACCTGTCTATCATCAAGTATGTACTTCCCCATTGTGTTGCTTGATCAATAATTGCTCCTTTTCCTGCTCACCTGCTAAGAATGGCATCACTTTTAGTCCTTGCTGCTATTGCTGCTTGCTTAAATTTAACAATGAGATTTGTAGCATTTGATATATTTTACAGCCAAGGGCTCCATTTTTCTTGTTATGAATTATGCTACAGTAAT